TTGATCGTTATCAACGTGTTTATAATCGAAAAAAATTTTTTCCTGATCAAATTATATCAGCAGTTGATCCAAATGAAAGTGAACATGAAGAAAAACAAGATTTTATAAATAGAGTATTAAGTGAATCTCACAGAGTATTATCAAATACACAATTTATACCACCGACACCAACACCTTCAATATCTTCACCAAAATATAATAGACAACCTTCGAAATATAATAGATTAGCATCTCGCGTTCGATTTTGTATTTCATTCACTGATGATCAATCAATGCCGCGAACACCCGATGTAATTTTGAATGAATTAGAAGAAGCAGTGAAAGATAGTGGCGAAGAGATTAATTTCAAATTAATTAATCGTCAAGAAGATTCTTTTAATGATAGAATAACAACTGCAAATATACCATCTTCTAATTCTATATACCAAATGTTCTAAACAAAATTTGAACTTCTTTTTTTCTATTGATATATTATGCATTTATTTTCGTTTTTTTTGGCTTAACTATCTACTAATATTCATTAAATTTATATGAAAATTACTGACATAGTCAATAAAACATTCACAAATGCATATTTATAAAAAAAATTTCAAACTGATAACGTATTTAGACTAACGAGAGAAATCTCTTTCAATTGATAATCTCCATTCAATTTCATATTTTACTGATTGTTAGGGTTCATAACGAAGATAAAAATCCTTCAAGAATTTATAATATGAGCTCTTTTTTTTCTTTCAGTTACAGTCATTTTATTGAATTTTCAGTCGATTGCAAGAATTGAATAAACGAATTTTACTCTTAAAATGTGTTCAGAAATAAATTTCATGACTTTTATAATATTCTAAATGTTTCAGCAATAACGAATAGTTTTCTGTTGAAATAATAATAGTTGTACAAACCATTGGTTTCTCGCAAAAGGTTTTGAACAAATTTGATTTTTATTTGAGTATGCAATATCTTATGAAGACACCATCCATTTTTTTTGTTGCAACTTTCAAGATATTATAAGAATCATGAAATTTATTTCTGGTTAAAACTTCAGACTAGAATTTCTTGATTCAATTTTTTTCATCATAACTTAACATTTAAAGACAAGGATCTATCTGTATAATAATAATATGTTATAGAAGCCATTGAGTTTATTTATTGACAATATGTTCCGTATAGAAGGATTTAAAAATAGCAAAAACAAAATGCTGTATATTCAGAGAATATTTAGTTTTATTTTTGAAAAATTTTTCTATCTCAATTAGTACAACAATGATGGTTCTAGTTAATTAAACAATTTTAAAATATTTTCATAATTATGATCAACTGCACAAATAATAATTACAAACTTTTCTTTTTTACAAAATCGAAAATAAAGCTAATAAACATCGTTTGTCAAATTAATTAAAATTTTACAGAAACTTTAATATGTATTTAAGCAAATTCTAATATAACTGTATTTGTGACATAAATAACTAAAAGTACATTTGATGGATAGGATGAAATACGATCTTTTAATCTACTGATTAATCCTTAAAAGCTCAAGGGAGCTTCTTTGGCAATAGAAGGAAGACAACTATAAAAACACAGCTGATAGATCTTCGGTACACTCATGCTATAGCTAAAACGAAATACCTTTTTCATCAGATATCTTAACACTATGTTTAACAACATCACTTTAAAAAAAATCAAAGCTGCACGTCGCTTATATAAATAAAAAAACAAATCGTCAGAAAAGAAAAATGATGCTAAAAAAAATTATGAGTCGTAAAAGATTCATTGTTTGGCTTAGGAGTGACTTAAGGGGGAACCCCCCCTTCGAAAGTCGATTTTTCCTTGAAAAAGTCGATTTTTGGAAAAACACATCTTCTTGTAGCCCCAAGTGTCCTCTTTCAGAATATGTATAAACTATATAGGAATGGAACATATTTTGCCCAATTTTGGCAAGTTTACTGGACGCTATAATGGAAAATCGGCTGTCTTGTTGATTTTCTTTCTTAATTATCGGTAACTAATATCGTTCTACCTTCTTTATTAGCACTCTAAAACCATTACCGTATCGAGTAATCATGTTTTGGATGTTGCAGTCTTATAAGAAAGGTTCAAAATTAGGCTATTTTTCGAAAAGATGGCGCTACAGTGAACTTGGATTCAGAAATTAGCTTAAGAAATCGGCTTATTTTTTTCTTGAAAATACTACCAACTGTAAGAACTTTTTATGCACTTTTCAGTGATATATAATATGCTCGAATTCTCTCTACAAGAAGATCATCAACTACGTCGCAATGTTGTTATTCGTTTTTCTCAGCTTCACTTTTTTATCGTTTTCTGACCATTGCGGAACATTTTCCCAGTTCACCGCTTGATGTACTCTGCTGATTTTTATTTATTTAAAAGATGAGACTTTTTTCTAGAAATTGTCGGAACAGATTTTCAAAATATATCTCCATTGTTTAGATATTTGAAAATCTTTGAAAGTGCTCAAAGCAGTTTTTGCGATTTTCGATTTAAAATGATTACTACAATTGAATGAAAACGAATTTCAAAAAACTGTTCCTACAATTTCTAGATAAAAGATTTTTCTTCATTTTGAAACAAAGTTCAACATTTTTCATGCTACCGCGCATCGGAAAAATGTTCCGTGCCAAAACCCCCGTTTTCATGAGTAAATTGAGTATAGCTTCTTAATTATCAAAAATGATTGGTTGAAATTTTTATCAGATGCTAGTTACATTAGCTTTTCTATTTCCTGAAATTTTCATCGAAATCTGTTGTATCGTTTAGAAGATAGGTTTCGGAGGGGGGGTTCCCCCTTAAGAATTCTATTTTCATCTCTGTATGATCACTAAGGTGATGTCAATTCAGAAAAATGTTGGTTTTTGTATATAAACTTTTGTAGTAGAATTTATTGAAATTATTCTAATGTCCCTTGGAAGAAACATTGGACTCTTAAACGGTTAAATCTAACAACGTTGGATAGTTAACAATATAAAATAGCAAAAACTGTCTCTATTACATCCCTTTTTTTTGTGTAATCCTATAAAATGCTGAAAATCATGTGAAAAACTATTTCCATTCACTAGTGGATAGACTAGATCCCTAAAACTGAGTGATAGACAACAACTTGAATTCGACAATAATTATATAATCTTAAAAGTAGATGTCGTACATGTATATCTATCTTGCGAAGTCTTTTGTTTGTGTTTGAAATAATAAGTTTTAAAAAGTTTATTTAATTTAATTCAATTAATATTTAAATATTAATAGAAATAAAATTGAATTAACAATGTGGAGGTAATATTAGCTTAAAATCCATTTTGTACCAAATACATTCTGGCTCTCTTTTCTTTCGTTCATTCCCAATTAATTTAACTATTTTCTTTTGATTTTAAGTATTCTCCTCATTAAAAAAATGGCTGTTTCTTCTTCATCTCCAATTCCTTTTATACCAATTGATCCTCGTATTTATTGTGAAACGATGAATGAACTTCATTCATATATCACAAGTTCTAAACGTGGTTATTTAACACAAGCTGAACTTTTTCGTTACTATCGACAACGACATGATAATGTTGAAATACCTTATCGTTTATTAGGCTATCGATCATTACTTGATTTACTCAGTAGTGATCAACGTCTATTTGCTATTGATTTACGTCGTGAACCAGCTTATATTTATTCAGCAGTTAAAGTAACTATTATAAAAACAAAACATAAATATTAAATTTAAAAGTTTTTGAAATTTAGCTTCGTCAACAAAAACGAGAACGACGACGTATGTTTTTATTAAATAATAAATCCTATTATTTAAATAAAAAATTCTATATGATAGAAGGTAGTACAAGTTTTTCTCGTCAACATCATTCAACAAATACACTTGATGAACAACATATTATACCTCCTGATTATGTTTTTTTTGTAAGAAAAAAAAAAAGATCTGTTTTTTTTTTTGATTCTATTATTATTTATATAAAAGGATCATCATGTACCATTAAATGAACACTATCACCAACAACAACAGCAGCAAAATATTGAATCATCAGATGAACATGAACAATCGATTGAGATACAAACTGAACGTCCATTAACACCAAATAATCATAACAATTTTGATAATAATGTTTGGGTAAAATTTTTCAAAAGAAAAAAAAATTATAATTTATTAAATTTAATTTAATTAAAGCATACACCACAATTAGATGAACAAACTTCATTAATGGATAATAATAATAATATTAATTCGGAGGAGAGAAACAAAGAATCAATTCAATTTACTTCTAATCCATTTTTACCATTACCAACTGTTTGTCTTTCATCAATTACAAAAAAATATTCTAAAATTTATTTATTTTAGGAAATCAATGATTCATCATCATTAATTAAATGTGAAAATCAATATAAACCAATTCAACGAAAAATTATTTTTCAACATGATAATAATCAAGAAAATAAATTTCCTATAATTCGAGTAAATATTATTGTAATAATAAACCTAAAAAAAAAAGTTTCTATTTATGAATCTCAAGAGTTAATTATGTCGTAATTAATATTTATTGATGAATGATTTTAGATAATTTAGTTTAATAAAAATGAAAAATTTTCTTATTATTTATTGATAGGATGTAACATTATTAAAATTTTCAACTCCACATCTTAATCGATCAATAAGTACATCAACAACATCATTATCAAAATCATATTCTTGGTATTTAATTGATTCATATATATTTCTATTTGCTGTTGTTATTTCTTTTATATTTCTTAGTATTTATTTATATAAACTTTGTTAAATTAGTTTTATTTTATTTAAATTAGCTTTTTTTTTTATTATTTATTGAAATCCTGAAGAAGAAGAAACAGTTTCTATTTTTTTGTTTTACTTTATATGTATTATATATTTTCATTTATGATTTATTCATGCTTCGTTTTACTAAAAGATGATAAAAAATAAAATATGTCTATATATGTAAAGGTTGATATTGATCTATTTTGTTTGCAGAAAACAAAAAATCATGCGAAATAATGATAAAACTAAACTACATGAAAATCTTAAACAAGAAATTCGTTCATTATTAATTAGTTCACCAAAAACTAAATATGGAGGATTATCAGGTTCATTATTATATTCGGATTATAAAAAATTAAATTCTGGTAAAGAAATACCATGTAAGTCATTTAATATTAAACTTATTAAGCGAAAAAAAAAGGGATAAAACTCAAAAATGGTGCCATTTTAGTTCTGAAAATTTAAATACATCACATGAACGTGAACTGGGAAATTTTGTTTGCGTATTCGAGATATCATATGAATTGAAAAAAAAACGAAAAAAATTTTTGGTTTTATTTTTTGAATAGGGAATGGCAGAAATTTTCGGAAAAAACAAGGTACCGAGTAAAAATTTTTGTCATTTATGAGAGATCAGATCACGGGGATATCTTTCTCTGCATTTATCTAAATTTTGATCATTCTGATTAAAACTTTCAAACGTCTTAAATATTCGTCTTATGATCAATTCAGCTAACGAGAATGTCATTTCTTCTAAATTTTGCTTTAATTGATGAAAATTTCTAGAATAGTTTGTTGAAAACTATCGAAAATTTAACTAGAATTTTTCATTCCGATTAGACCCCGTCGGGTCCAGAATTTTTGGACTCGGACCCGGACCCGTTTACAGTTTGCTGGACCCGGACCCGGACCCGGTCGCTTAAATTTTTTGGATCCAAACACAATGACAAGTCAGTTTAGACAGTATAGACAAGAAGGGTTTTGTTATTTTTTATCTATTTTCTAAATACATTTGATCTCTTCTTTGTATAAAACGAACAAAACTTTAAAAAAATTCAAAATAAATTGTATGGATCAAAGTTTTCTTCAGACCCGGACCCGGTCAAAATAAAATTTTTGGACCCGGACCCGGACCCGCACGGGTCCGGGTCCGGGTCCTACCCGACGGGGTCTAATACCGATTTGAATAACTTTTTTTTCCTCATAGTCGCGATTGCGAGATGGAATTAAAACTGGTCGAACACATTTCTATTCCTATTACGATGTCTTTACTTTTTTTATGCTATTTTGTATTCTTATTTACACTTGATTGAAGCTAATGAAAAGACTAAAGGTTGACGGTAGTTTTTAGAAAAAAATTGAAAGATATTTATAAATCTAGATGGTGAACTTGGTTTTCATTCATTTTTGGCTTTATTACGTTCAATGCCTGATGTTGTTAGAATTGAATATAAAGAAAATAGTCCATCATATCGTGTTCATCCAGTATATGATGAAACAACAGCACATATTCAAAAAATGGTATTTGAACAACGTGATAAATATGAATATCAAAATCAAGTAAAATAATAATAAATGCTTATGATAATTAATATAAAATATCTTTTTTTTAGTTGTACAGTCAAAATTGGTATTCAAATAATGATATAAGACAAAATAAATTAATTTCATTAAATTGTAATTCTTTTTAAAATATGTTTTTTTGTATTTTCGTTTTTTTTTAGTTTATAATAATAGACAACGACCATTTTTATATAATACTTTTTCTCGTTGTAAGTTATTTAGAAATTTTCTTTTTTACAATTAAAATTTTGCTTTTTAATTACAAGATACATTAAACAATTATGGATCCCATTTTTCGGTATATATATATTAACTATTCAACTAAATGTAAATGATCGAAATTTTTCAAGTTCTTTTTGTTTTTGTTTTAAGAATAATTTTCATCCTAATAGTAAAAACTTTTTCAGACGATCTTCTAGTTAGTTAATATTTTATTTACATAAAAGATTAGTTTGTTAAATCATTTTTGTTTTGTTAGTTCCACAAAAATTATTTATATCGAATGAAGGACGAAAACAATTTTCTTTTCAACCATATTTACTTGTAACATCAACTCATGATGATGATAAAAAAATCAATTTTCAATCTATTAATAAATTAACATCGATTAATAATCATAAAAACGAACTAGAAGAAACACCTCCTAATTTTGATCTTAATGATTATCATTTAAGTGAATCAATCGAACAAGTAAGAATAAAAAAAACACAATTTATTTATTCAATTTATATTTTGTAAGGATACTGACGAACAAACGAATAATAATTCAACAATCAATCATCAAATTAGTTAGGATTTATAATTGATAATTCTTTCAATATTTTATTTTTTTCTTCAAAAATATATATATTAGAAGATCAATCGAATAGTTCAGAATATTCTGTTCAATCAACATTATCAATTATAAAAGAAGGTAATTTTTTTTGTTTATCTTAACTTGAATATTCAACATAAAAATAAAGATAAGCGATATGTCTATCATGTTAGCGATCAGAGATGGACAAAATCGCACCGCGCCACTGCTCGCGCCTAGGCGCTACGCACATCTCTCTTTCTCTTTGCTCTACCAATCAGTTTCTCAAACTCCACCGAATACCAGGATGCTCTAAGCATGCGCTCATCGAAGCTCAGACTAGTGTAGCGTAGGCGTGAGCAACAGCGCGGGGAGGCGCGGTGCGACTTTGTCCATCTCTGGTAGCGATAAATTTTCAACTGTAATATATATCGTTGAAAGATGATATTCATCATTAGCTCGAAAATATTGACAATCTTCATTAATCTCTTTTGTATGAAATATAATAACAGTAGGAAACAATTTTATGAAATTTATAATGTAATAAGAACAGAAAAGAATAATTCATTTGTATGTTTGTTTTTTTTCATAAAGATTTCAATTTAAATTCACAGATTTTTTTCTCTATTTTTCAGAAAAATCATCATTAAATAAAGAATTATTTTTTGAAATTTCTCATTATGATAAACAAGAACAAGTAAATAAAATTTTATAATTATGTTTCTTTTTTTTTTTGATATTTTTAGTGTAAAATTGATGAAAATCGAAAATTAATAAAACGAATAAATAATGCACTACGACAATGTATTCATTTTCGTTATATTCATCGATTATATGAACTTAAATTTGAATATCGTGATTATCCATTATCAATTGAAATAACATTAATAAAATCAAAACTTGAAAAAAAAGCTTTTAATAAATATCAACAAGAATTAGAAGAATTTGAAAAAATATCACAATTAAATACATTAATTGATGATCAAATATGTCAAACAATGTTTGATGAATACATTTATTTACAACGACATTATTATTATATGACTAGATTAATGAGAAAAAAACAACAATAAACTAAAATAAAAATGAATTTTTATTTTTTATTTTTTTTTAAGAAAAAAAAAACAGTCTTTGTTTTATTTGTATTGATAGAGATGTTTTTTTTTTGTGTTTTGTATTTAGATAAACTAAAAAAACAAATCGATTTCAAAATTTAAACATGAAACTAATCGAATCCTTCAGTCCTTTGAAATTCTCTCTTTGCTGCATTCTATTAAAAGCGAGATATTTTTTTTTTTTTTACAAAAAAATTATGACAGCTCTCGCCATTGTTGGCGGCTTCTTCGGTCTACCATTGAATGTAGGTACACCGTCAACTATTGGATGCTGCTGCTTTACTTCACATTACGTTAATTATTAGTTTCCTATGGAATCAAAATTTTATCATAAGACTTTGTTGTATATTAATAAATGAATATTTTTTGTTTTTTGGAGATTGAACATTTTCGGGAATTGATTCATTCGTTTTTAAAATATTTTAATGATTAGACAAAAAATTCTGATTCAAATTCTTAGTTCTTTTGTTTTTTTTAATGGAAATATCATACATTCAGTAATAGACAATTTTATACTGTTAGAAAAGAATATATTAGACATATTCAGATCAAAATTAAAGCTTTCACTATTTAATTGAGGCAAATTATAAAATCTAAGGTGCTTAGGATGTGAACCAAATGAGATAATGAATTTTTTAAGATATTCATACAAGTCTGAATATTATATATTTTTCTTTTTTCGTAATGATTAGATTGAGATCATCGAGTTGTATAGCAGAAAAGTGTTTAACAATTCAAAAAAAATTTGTAAATAACTTATAAAAAAGATCCACAATAGTATTATCTTCAAATATAAGAAAAATAAACCAAAATTTCTAACTTTTAAAAGGTCTTTTGAAGTTTTATTGTAAGTTTGAAGAAACACACTTTTTTTCTTATACAACTCAATAATTTCAATCTAATCATTACGAAAAAAATGAATAATAATATTCAAATTTCGACTCCTTACATATATCGTTCAGTGCACATCATAAGATGCTTAGATTTTACATTAGTTAGTTTTCAAAACGAGCTTCAAATTGACATAAATATGTCCAACTACTAAAACATTCCATTTTAAATAATCATATTAAGTTCAAACGGTGAAAATATTTATCGGTAAGATTTGTAAAATTGTCAACATTATTCACTCTATTAAACTTTCAATACATATCTTCATAACTATATCTTTGAATAACGTGGGAGGACACTTTATCGTTACTTTACTCAATAAAGTGCTCATCTTCAATTAACTCGATCAAGTAAAGTAGTTTGACTTTATCATCGTATTTTAAATGAAACTAATTATAAAAGAAAGAAATAAGGTCAAATTAATCATAGTAAACATGAAAAGTATTTAACATTTACGGCCACTAGGATTATTAGGTGCATTTATTTTTTGAAGCAACAACGATTTAAACAAGATCAATCAATCTATAAATCAAAATCAGTAACTAATTCTATTATTTGGAAGAATTTCGCATTTATAAAAAAAAAATCATAATTGAACAGACAACTGTTCTCTACACGTATTCAATTAAGAAGAATAAATTTCATATGATAATACTCAAAATAAAGATTAGTTTGAATAAAATGACAAAACTTATTAGTATTATTTTTTTTCTTTTAAACTAAGTAATTAATCTTTAAAAAAAAGCATTTAGTTGTCAATATTTTCTCGCTAAAAATTCTATATTTTTTATTAAATACATATTTAAACTTTAAATAATAAAATATTTTTACAAAAAATAACAAGACTAGATTTTTGCTTACGAAAACTAATTGTATATAGATGATTTAACAATAAATCAACACTTTATTTTTTATTGAAAATAATAAATTCATAAAATTTTTCAAACTTCAAATCAAATCAAAAAGAAATATTTCAAAATAAAATTTTTCTAAATCGACTTTTTTTCAACTGAATTAAATGTTCAGATCAAAAATTATATAAAACAAACTCATGATTTTTTTTTAACGAATAAAATATTTTATTCTAAATAATTTTTAATTATATTTATTCCTTCTTGATCTTTCTTCATCATTTTAAATAATATTAAAAAAAAAACAGAAACTAAGTCATTTTTTGACATAGCGTGCATCAATTATTCGTTATTAAACTATGCAGACAGACCTTTGTATATAATATGTTAATAAAACAAAAGAAAAAGGAAAATAAAATATGTCCGTAAAAAACATAGTCACGTTAACAAACGCAATCAAGCTTAGATGATGATAAGTTTAAGAGAATATCGAGTTCTATATGACATCAACTGAAGAGAAAAACGGTGTTAATAATAGACTAACAAAGAAGAAAAAAAAAAAAAAAAGGGAAAAAAATAAGAAGAAAATATAAAATGCTATTAATTGAAATAAAGACAAGGCTTTTTATTTTTGCTTGTTAATTCATTTTTCATATGTGGCAAGATCAAAAACAAACATCAAATTCTCCATTTGATTGTGCTGTATGTGGTGCTTATGTTTATGGAAATAATTCTGGTATTCGGACATGTTTACCATGTAAATCTTTTTTTCGACGTCATGCTTTTTTACCACCTGATGTTTGTTGAATATAATAAATAAAAGATTTTTTGTTTTTTTTAATGACTTTTTTGTTTTCTTAGACATTAAAATGTAATAAAAATGGAACATGTTATATTGAAGCAGCTCAAAGATATTTTTCAGCATCATTACCACCATGTCGAGCTTGTCGTTTAAAAAAATGTTTATCACTTGGAATGGATCAAAATTTACTTCGTAGACGTTCTGCAAGTAGTCCACCTTCAATATTAATTGATAGATTTTTCAATAATACGATTATTAAAACTTCTTCATTAGATGAAAATGTTGTTTTATCTACAGTAAGTCTATTTGAGAGTATCGTAAAATGATTTGATAGAAATAATTAATAAGTATATCTATTAAATGACAATAAATTTATTTATTATTCATTGAAATTTCTTAATTTATTTTTTTCTTCTATCTCTAAAGAAACAAACAACAACGAATATAAATACAAAAATGAATAATAATAATGAAATAAAATTTAATCGTATTCGTTCTTCAAGTGATATTACTGATCGTCAACAACAATTTTAACAAATTTCATTCACAAAAAAAAAAGACATTTTTTTTTTTTTCTTCCATAATTCTAGCAATATTGTACTGTTCATTAAATATATTACTGTATATATGTAAATTTCTCTGTTATACAGTTCATTATTATCTTTAGAATAAATAACAACATCCAAATATTCTTCTTAGAAGACTTAAGAATAAAGTAAAAAACATTATGTCTGTGAGAAAGAAAAATATAACTTTTTCTTCGTTCTTAATAAATTCTGATTCTATAAATTATATATTATTTCAAATACAATTAGTTCTTCTTTATGTGAATAGTAATTATTTGTCATATAGATTTTGTTCACTATTAATTAAATAGCGGTGTTTTTTTTTATTTTAATTCATAGCTACTTCTAACTCGTTTCATCAAAAAATAATGAATTCTACTTATCCATAAATAAAACAAAATTTATAAGATAGTATCAACTTCTCCTTTTTGATTTAATATAAAGAAAATGCTTTTTTGGAGAATCAAATTATATCAAAACTTTTAATTGAGAAATAACAACAAAAAGTCATGTTTCTTTTATTCTAATTAAAAATAAAATGTAAATAGAATACTTGAACACGATGTGTCTAGATGATGAATATAATCATTGAGAATAATTTTTTCTTTTCAAATCTATTAATTATTTTGAATGTATTCTATAAATTTGCGAGTTATTTTATGCTAGGAAAATATATTTATTTTTCTTCATGAAAAAAAAAAAAAATAAATGCAAAACATATTCTCAGCTATAAAACGCGTTGTCGGAATTCTTAGAAATCGATTAAACTAATAATGAGAATAGAAAAATAGATGTTGTAGAAAGATGATTGCATTCATTCATAGACAAAATTCTATAAAGAATAGGTAATAAAGCTAGTTGGAAAAGTTAATTAATTTTGACTTATTCTAACATTCCATAGTTCCATTATTGTGTTAATCTTCAACTATTAACAAAGTCTTTCGCATGTAGTCTAAAAAAAAACTTTTGTTTTTTTTTTGTCTATTGAATCATATTTTGAAATAGAAAAATTTTAAGTCTCTCTCTCTCTCTCTGTCGTTTCCAAACAAAGTTCATATAGGTCAAAATTAAAATAAATGCATGGAATGATAACTCAAAGTCACATCTTTCACAAACAATATTTTATATCGCTTTTAATGAAAAACTTTCGATGATTTTTGTTATATTTTTCGGAAGAAACGTGTTCAGTGCGCATATTTTAGTACAATTCAAAATTCGATGAAACTTTTATAGCATATTGTTGTTTTTGTTTTTTTTTCATTGTTTGTTATGTCTACTTAAAGCCATACTGACAAAAATTAGGCATTGTAGTAATATTGAAATTGTGCTCAGAAGAAATTTGAATTTTTCATTATCATATAAAATTATAAATTTAATAAAGTAAATAATTTTATTTTTGTTATATCTGATTATAAGTAGAAAAGAAAATATATCTGACAATTCAATCAAGAAATCTATTTTTTATAAACATTGATATTTTTCTTGTTTTTATAAATTGATCAAATTTCTCCTGATAACATTGTATTGAAATCTAAAATAAATAATTTAATAATAATAATTATATATATAACACACAAAATAAATAAATAACAAACCACTTCTATCTAATGTTTCATTTTGTTTATTTGTTTGTGATTGTTGAACAAAACGTGCAAATATATCAATAAATGGTTTAAGAGATGTTTGATTATAATCTAATATTTTTAGAAAAACAAAAATAAATTTTTTTTTGATTTAACTAATATTAAAAAAACCTTTTTGTTTAGTAGAAATTTTTTCATTTAAACCATCTTCATATTGTTTTGGTAATTGTTCAACTTGTTGACATAATTCATTTAATTTTGGAACTGAACCTTCTTTACATGGATCAAAATATCCTAATGAATTTAAATGAATTGGTATTGATACACGACCAGTTTTTGGATGTATACTAAATGGTGATTTAAGTAAATGATTCATTCCTTTTGTTACATTTACATCAAGACGTGGATAACTATATTCAAACATTATTTCATCAATTAATGTTGTATAAACAGCTTTACGAAACTATTTTATAAAAAAGAATGTTTTTATTAAATAATTAAAAATATTAGAGAAGACAAAAAGAATAAAATACTTTAGTAGTCGATGTTACGGAATTAATCATTGCATCAGTATGTTGTTTAAAAGCAGCCCATCGTTCTGCTGATGTTGTTAATTGAGAAAATATTTCTCGTAATGTTGAACGACGTAAATAATTTAGTTAAGGAAATAAATTTTTATATGATATAAATACATTTTTTCGGGAAGGGGGAGAAAGAAAAACTTTTAAGTATTGTGCAAATGATGAGTCCGTATCAGAGATGGACAAAATCGCACCGCGCCTAGGCGCTACGCACATCTCTCTTTCTCTTTGCTCTACCAATCAGTTTCTCAAACTCCACCGAATACCGGGATACTCTAAGCATGCGCTCATCGAAGCTCAGACTAGTGTAGCGTAGGCGCGGTGCGACTTTGTCCATCTCTGGTCCGTATTATCTATGAAACTCTATATATATATCTTTATTAAAATAGAACAATCAATATCAGTTCAAAACAAAAATTTATCAAGTCTATTCGTTTTTGTTTTTAAATATGAATCAGAAGTTAATTTTTTTACGATTAACACGAACTCATCATTTGCAAAAAAAAAATGATTTCAAATCGATTTCTATAGGATATTTAAAAGAAACCAAAAAAAAAGGATATTATCATCAGGAACAATTCGAAGAAATCGTTCAATACGTTGATCATCTCCAAGAAAATCTTGTTCTAAACATGCATATCCATCAAATTCAGTTAAAATTATTTCACGAGCTCGTCTAAATTAATAATTAACATCGAAATTCAAAAAATTTGTTTTCAATTTACTGAAGTGATGGATGTAATGGATGATAAAGTGTAACACGTTTTGATGATTCTTTTCCACTCTAAATTCAAATATATAAAAGATTTAAAACAAAAACAAAACTACTAAAAATGATCATACAGTAACAATAGATATATGTTCAACAATAGCTTGTCGAATACTTGATTGTAATTCTCTTGCTATTTGATCACAAACCCAACAATGAACACCACGTCGACCAGAATAAATCCATAAACGATGTTCAAATCCAAAATCTTCTACAAAAAACAAATAAAGTTTCGTTGTTTTTTTTTTGTAAATGAAATTAAAATAAGAACAAACCATGTAATACACGATCAATAATTTGCATAGCAAATCTCATTAATGTCCAACATTTAGAACAAATATCAGCACCACTTAAAGATAATATTTTATATTTAATAATAGAACAAAAAAAATTATTTACCGACAACAAAATCGAACATCATCATAATCTGTCATATCAATATCAAAGACAAGTTCACGTTCAATTGGATAAAATTGTGCTGGAGAAAGCATTTTATGATCTTTTGGCTAAATTATTTTTAATAGAATAAAAAAAATCATTATAACAAAAAAAATATTACTTTAGCTGAATAAACAGCACCAATATCAATTTTTTCTGGACACATTTTTATTAATTCTTTTTCAAATTCAATATGATTAGAAAATGAAAGATAACGACGATAAACATCATTTTCAAGTGTAAAACTAAATTCACGTTGAGCAAATTGTGAACTTGCTGCAGCTAAAATTATTTTAAAATATCAAAGTTTTATAGAAACAAAAAAATATATTAAACTTATACGATATATTTACTATAAATTGTCTTCTCTATAGTTTTGCCTAGCAGGAACAACTGAAAGTTTGACAGACAACTGGAAGCAATTTGATTAGCAAAAAGTTAAGGAGAAAATATGTTTTCTGATAAAAGCTCAAAACTTTTGCAGACACAACGTAAAAAATGGGAAAGAAAGAGCTAACTTAGTTCACATCGAGACCTCGAGTCGCTGTATCATCTATTAGAAAGTCAAATTCAATTAAAAAAATTTCTTTGCTCTGTATATTACCATTATCGACTTCATTTCCTTTTCGAATGAAGTTTGTGCAACAACACGATGCTACATAGCTTCTTTTTTTTTTGTCCATAAGTTCGGTTTAATATTAAGATTTTTTCCATGTTAATCCTTTTGATAATCAACTTCGACTCTCAAATTTTAAACAACTCTATATATATATACAATATTAGAAAATTAAAACGACAAATTATATTCGATTATTGTTGGATAAAGCTGAATCGAAATTTTTTCATTGATACATGTTTCTTGCTAATTATAGCAAGCTAGAATAAGACAAAACAATTAAAACAATCGCTAGGATACTTTGATAAACTTAACACAATTTTATTTTTTCGAATAATTTTCAACAAATTAGTATAAAGTCATCATCATAGAATTTTCTCATGTTTTCCTTTGAGGAAAACTAATATTTGTTTAATAAACTATTTGAATTTTTCAATAATTTCTGTAAAAATTTATTTCTAAATAATTGACTCACGTTCTCCATAAGCAAGCCATTTACAATAGATATGTGATGGAAAAATTCGTCGATAATAAATAGCTAAATTCCATGGTGTAACAAATGTTTCATCAATTTTTTGTTTATCTTCATTCGACATCTGAAAACTAAATAATCGAATGATATATCTAGACGATTTTATTTAATGAAACCAAAGAAGAAGACAAACTGGGGGATATAAGTACGTTTATGAAGTAAATCAACTACTAAAAAGAAAACAATATTTTTCTGTTCGTTCTAATATATTGAAAATGAATTTTTTCGTTTTTTTTATTTAATTCTATGATTTATTGTTTTTGTTCTAAAGCAGCAGCACCTGATATAATTTCAATAAGTTCAGTTGTAATAACAGCTTGTCGTGTTCTATTATAATATGTTGTTAATTTATTAATTAAATCTCCAGCATTTTTTGTTGCATTATCCATAGCTGTCATACGTGATGATTGTTCTGATGTTGCATTTTCTTTCATTGTATAATAAAGAACAGATGCTAAATTATATTCTTGAAATGAACGAAGAACTTCAGCATCAATTGAATCATAAACTTGTATTGATTTTGAATTTGCTATTGTTTCATTTGATAATATTTTTTGACGTGATGTTGTATAAGCAATAGCCGATCTATTCAAAAAAAAAAGGAAAAAAAGCATTTCTTTTTTTTTAATTTAAATTTACTTGAATTGATTATAAACAATTTCAGCTGAATCAAATTCAAAACCAGAACTAATTAATTGTTGTGCAATAGCAGATGCATCACCAAAAACAAGTGATCGTTTACCAATTTCATTTATTGATAAAAGCATATTTGATGAATGTGTTCGTGCAATACCAGCACGTGATTTATCACCAATAGCAATAACTTTAGTACCTTCTAAATTTTGTTTTTCATCATTTAATTGTGTACGTATATTTTTTATAATTGATGAATTAGCTGCACCACAAAGACCACGATCAGATGTTGCAGCTATAAGTACTTGTTTTTGTGGATTTTCATTTTTTTCAATTTCCAAATGATCATAAAAAGCTATTATAGAAAATTATTTAAGTTTTTGAAAAATTATATTTATTTTAATTTTCTTTTACATTTAGCACTTAAACCATATGGACGAGCAGCACGTAATTCTCTTTCGGCTTTAGCAAATTTAGCTGCTGAAACCATTTTCATTGATTTTGTAATTTTTTGAATACTTTTTACTGATTTTAAACGACGACTAACTAAATAAGAACAAAATATTCAAATAAAAAAAAAAAAACATTCGTTTAACTGAAATCTTACTATCTTTTAGTGTTGCCATATTACGAACAGATGTGTTGTTCCTATAATAATTAAATCGATAGAAAACTTTCAAAAAACAAAATAAAAAATATTACCAGAGAAGAACACCACTTGCTGGTTGTTGCAGGATGCCAACAGCTTTGACAACGAACGACATTTTTCGTTTTTTTCTTCTTCTCTGAAATAATTTAGTTGATGAAATTCTCTAAAAAGTATTATTAATTTAATAAATCATTTTGAACAATCTTTATTTCATTTTTTTTGTTTTTTAATACGAAGAAAACAAAGTATATTTTTTGTTTTACTCTAAGAAACACATATTTGATTATTTACTACATTACGATTCGTCAATTGTTTAGCAACTAATTCATTTAACACATTAATGCATTTGTAATTTTTGATTAATAAAAATTTTTTGAAAATTATGAAAAGAATTTTTAAAAAAAAAAGTTAAATCTAATATTAAATTATTTATTTAATAAATAAAATAAAAAATGATGAGTCATAATAGAGTCTGCATTTTTGCCTCGAAGAGAATCTTGTTCCAGATACGAAATCAAATATAATCGTTAAGAATAACAAAAAGAAACAATGAGCAATAACTCATTAATATTAGGTAATTTTATTCCATCATCATTTCTTGAACAATCAACACCTATTCGACGAGTAACAAGTACTAGTAGTGATTCAGGAGATAGTGGAGTTGATCCAGTAAGATATTTTTATAAGAAACTTTTTTTGTTTTGTTTTTATTTCTATAATTATTAAATAGTCATATCGACAAGAACGAAAAATATTTGTTGGTGGTGTTCCATCATCTGTTGGACCAGAAGAATTGGCTCATTTTTTTCAATCATATGGACAAGTTAATTATATTTATTTATTTCGTTTATATTCTTAATATTAATAGATTTAGGTTGAAGAAGCATTTATCATTTATGATCGATATAATGGTCGACATAGAGGTTAACTAGTTTTTTGTTATTTTAATTAAAATAAAATATGAATTTATTTTAGGATTTGGTTTTGTAACATTTGCAGATATGTCTACAACAAAAGTTGTTTGTTCTACACGAATTTTTAATCTTCATGGACGAAAGGTTTTCTATTTTTTTTTCTTATAAAATTTTTCATTTTTTCAATATTTAGATTGAATGTAAACGAGCATTAAAACGTGAAGAAATTTTAGGTACAAATGAAAATGATTATAAATCTTTTCGTCCAAGTTTGTTTTTTATTTTTTATTTTTAATATATATATATATTAATTGAATATAAATAGATAAAACTTGTCCATCTCCACCAGTTACATCAAATTCAATTCCAACAAATCTACCATTATGTCCAACATCAATTCCAATGTCATATGGACAATATCGTCAATTACCACCTGGAATAATTAATACACTTAGTGGTTGGATTGTTAATCCATCAATGCAAACAATACCACAAATGTTTCATCCTATGTTTAATCCTAATCAACAATATGGTAAATATTATTATTAATTGAGATTAACTTATACAAAGATTAGACTTTCTTAATTAAGTTTATTCTAATCAATAAAACGAAAATAAATTTTAATTTTTAAATAGAAAAAAGCGACATCTTCAGATAAATCATTTCGAATAAATTTTTTTAATGAAAATGAATCCTTTACAGAATAAAATCTAATGTTTCTTTAGATATTCTACTAATTTATAACAGTTTTTGAAAATTTATTTGCTTATATTTAGCAATGTCATGACGAAGTAACTAAGATAAGGAATAGATTATCGAGGAGATTCAATCCGACCTGTAGATTCGATCGAAAACGATCGGATCCGACAAGGTTTTTGTCGGATTCCCATCAGCCGGATACCGATCCGGAATTTGACGGAACACGATGAAATCCGGGCCGGATCAGGTCGGATTTTATCACGTTCCGATGAAATCCGGACCGGATCCGACCGAAATTATTCCGAACTGGCGAGATCCGACTGGGGTCGTTTGACCTGGTAGATCATCTATTGTTTAGAGAACCAAGTGATGATAGGTTCTCTCTAATCTTGGTCATCAGTTTGAAGATGATCGTAGTTTCATGCAAAATTCTTTTGCCCAACTCTTCCGTCAACTATCATAGATGAGATCGATTCGATTCGAAAATTGAATATATATTTGTTATATTTAGCTGTATTTCCATTGTCAACAATCATGTGGAATAATCCATATCAACATCCAACAATGCAATCACCGTTTATTCAAGTAAATTAATTGAGATATTTGAGTTTGTTGTTGTTTTTTTTATTCCTTCTAAGAAACAATATTCGAATATATATATTTTGCTTAAACAAATAGAATTTTTAAAGAGAATAAATCTAAAATTATTTAAATGAAAAGTAAAAAAATATTATTAGCAGATATTTAAATTATAATGTTAAATAAAATATTGTTTGATGATATTTTTTTTGTTAAATATAATAAATAATTTAGGAGATAATGGTTCCATCATCACCACCATCAGCAGCAATGATGAATTTATAATAAATGTCGATCTATAATTTCATTTTTTTTTTTTTCTTCTGTCATTTAAAAAAAATTGTACAATATGATCTGTTATTTTGAACAGTTGTTCTTTATTCTGCTAAAATTGATATTTTTTTTCTTTCTACTCTTCTGAGTAAGGATATTCGTTTCGTTGTTACTTTTTCGTTAACTATGTAAATATCTATACAAAATACATCATTTATTCAGATATTATTGATTGCATTGATGTTGTTAAACGTGTGTGTCGGTGTTATATCTCTATATATATATATTTTTTTTTCATTTCTTTATTATTCTACTTGTGTTGTCGTGTGTTCCATTTTGGAAAAAAAAAATAAAACTGAGTATGGAAGAAGAATTATCTTCTAATAAGATATATTTATTATTTTACAACAATATTAACAATTATTATATTAATTATTACTAATGTATTGTATTAAGTTTTTTTTTTTTTTACTCGAAATATTCTATTAATAGAAATTATGATTTTAATAATTCTTTTAAAGCATATTTTTTTGAGTACTAAATCAATTGATAATAATACATAGAAAAGAAAAATATTAAAGGATGTATTTCATTGAAGAAAAAAAAAAAACAAATGTGAATAATCTTGAAATTGTATGAACTCAGAATAGCAAAATAAAACAAATCCTCAAGTTGTATAATAGAAATTCCAGTTTTAGAACTCATTTTTAAATATGTTGTTTTTTTTGCTTGGGCAAATTTTCCTCGAGTTTGAGATTTTGAATTCAATTTTTAAGATGATTTACGTTTTGTTTTTTTATCAATGAGATTGATGAAATGTATCAGTGAAATATTAGATGATAAAGTTTATCTAAACAAACAAAAAAAAATGTTTCTTTTTTTATGCATGTAATTAATTGATAGGTTAATGAAAATGAATAAAGCATTCTTTTTTTAAAATTACTAGTTAGTTCACTTATAATGAAACATCTACTTAAGTCTTATTGACTATTGTTTTAAACATATCTTATTTACTTAATGGACAGATGAATAATATCTATTGAAAATGATACAATATCTCGTTTTTTTTTGAAAGATAATATTGAGACTTCTATCAATGGTTTTAAATAATATTATTGATAGTTTATTAATCAAACTCAAAAATTTTTTTTTTTACTAATTTACTTATAATTTTCAAATAATCTAGTTATATGTACGTGAGAAAATATCTCATCTGTTGTGTTAAACTGTATATGAAAAATATATTTCTAACAGATATCATCTCATTATTTTCATAACTTTAACTTCTATTTAAATACTTATCATTTTAGAATAAA